AGGAGGAGGAGGAGGGTGGGGGCAGCGGATCAGCCCGCGTCCAGCTCCCAGCCTCTCCGGACGCCCGTGCGTATCCGCCGCGTATGTCCGTATTTTCTCGAGCGCGCTCCGCTTTGGAAGCTGCATGTCCTCCTACCTGTCCGGGCTTTTCCCGAGTGCTGCCATAAAGAAGCAGCGGAAAGCAGGCGGCTCCCGCCCTGGATCCCCCGCGGACGCAAAATAGAGGCTTCCTTTCCAGGGCAAGAGACAGACGGCTCAAATTCGTTTAAAACAAATTCGGCGATGTTGGTGACGGGTCCCTAAAGCCCCCTTGCATGATTCTCCCTCCCTCCCTCCCTTTACAAAACGAGCCCTCGGCCGCTTAGTGCCTCGATGCCGGCCGACTTCTGCAGGATTCAAACTGTGCTTGTTTGTAAACGAAAGCATCTCCATCTCAGGGCTTCCTAGCCAACCTAAGCGGCTGGATAGTTCGCAGCCGCAGCTGTAGCGGACGTTCACGGGACGGGAGAACCGATCCACTGCAAACGTTACACTGAGCAGAAACGGCGAGAGAAGCACAAATCCCCTCTCCCGCCCCCGACCTCTGCACGCACACCGTGTGCCTTTCGCAGAGGAGAATATAGCGTCGTTCCGCTCCCTCCCGCGATGGGGACCGTGGCAATGGAGAAAAGCGCTAGCGAGGTCTGAGCTGCAACCTCCCCCCCCCGCCCCCCAACCTCCCCGCTACCGCGCTCGGTCGCCCCGCATTTATTAGGGATATACCTGACTCCGCTTCCTTTCCTTCCATCTCATAACCACAACGATTGAATCTGAACGGGAGCAGCTGTTCGCCCTAGCCGGAAACGAGATGTCAAAACCTGTTGCATGAACTTAGATCTGAGAAAGTGTCTTCTTAGCACCCTAAAATGTGAGTATAGAATCTACACGCCAGCCCCTCCGCAGGCGCTTTCACTTTAGGCTGCCTTAGCCAGGCTGCAGCTTCCATGTAAAGCTAGTTCACTTCCCACAGCGCTGGGCAGAGGCAGGGCTAGTCCCTTCCCGAGCACCCTATATCAGCTTGCATCCCAGAGCAATTGCAAATTAGTGACATCTGGTTCCAAATTCTGTATAACTGCTTTTAACTTTCGGGAAAGAAAAAATCTTCCCGTACATGCTAGGAGAGCAGATACTGGCTGCAAAGCCACGGCACGGGGCGAGTCAAGTTGTAGTGACTTGCGAGGCAATCTGGAGATCGGGCAAGGAGCTTTTTTTGGCATTTGCGAAAGAGCTCATTCCCTGCAATTATATTTCAGAGCAGGAGGCGCGAATCGCCTGCTAACGTTTGCCCCCAGTCCGACGGGAACATTTTGCCTGGCCGCTGCCGGCTCTTTCCGCTCAGTCGCGGTGAAAGGTTTTATCTGGGCTGACCGAAAATTGTGCACGGCCCCGCTGCCGCCCGGCGGAGAAGCCCGGGGCTTCAACCCGGCCCCGGCCCCGGCCCCGGCCCCGAGGGTGACTTTGCCGAGGCCCCACTCGGGAAGCGCCTCACCCGTCCGCGCAGTCTTTGCCGCGCACGAAGCAGCGTGCGAGACCGTCAGTGTCAACACAGCCATTGTGAAATAGGAGTGAGATAAAAAGTCGGTTTAATCGTAATGCACCTTTTATTAACCGGGGCACAGACTGTCTGAGGGATGGGGTGCGGGTCGGGGTGGGGGGGAAGGCGGGCGTGTCGCTTCCAGGAGCCTTTCATTGCCCGTAACTGATTCGTGTCCACGAGTGAGTGCCAAGATCACGCTGCAGTTACCCGAAAATCTCCTTCTCGGCTGTGCCGTGACCGTCTCCTTGTAGGCAGCAGCCTGTGTGGGAGGCTGCACGCCCACACCGTTCCCATTAAAGACACGAACCGATTCACCCACACTCCTGCCCCGCATCTTTCCGCAAGCCCCTACGACCACTGCCTCTGCGGCCCCCCTCACCCATTCTACAGCGGCACAAATGCCGCTCGCCGGGCTGGGGCGAACCCTCGGCCGGAGAGGCGGGAGGCAGCGGGATTGCTACCCACCTCCCTTCGCCCACTCGCGCAAGGCTGAGGACACGCACGCTCCTGCCAGCCGGCCTCGGCTCCACGCCTGGGAAAGGCAGGGAGACGGTGCCTCTCCGAGGGGCGCTTTTATCGGCAGGAGTAGCGAACAAATGATAAACCCGCAATCTTCACTTGCCAGAATGAAACACATCTTCCCCGCAGATGTCCAATACCGTGGCAAGGACTGTAGGGAGAGCAAGCGAATGGCGAACAACTCCAAGTTTTCGTTTCTTTCCTTTTTAATTTTTTTTTTCTTTCTGGGGATGGGTGCAGTATGCTTTCCCCCTTAAAATCGGTGGGCTTCAACGTGGCCGAAAGCCTGCCACAATTAACCTGCTACTCCCGCTAGCTTTTTAAAATGAATCACAGCGACCTTTGCTAGGATCCCGGGCCTACCTGGCCCCCACCCCCGAACCTCAGCGAGTTTTCCCGGGGCACCCCAGGCGCACACGTTTCTCCCTGGCGGCACCCGACCCCTTCAGGCGGTTAAAGCTCGCCGGGGATTCACGGAGGCAGTTTGCAACACGGAACCGCGGGTTGTTCCCCCCGCCCTCCCGTTATTTATTCACGCTTTTATTTATTTTTGCGTTTTGTTTAAAACCCGGGTCCATCCCATCACAGATGGCACTAAGATCCTGCCCCGACTGAAAAAGAAAACACGACGGAGGAAAACACTGCGCGTAACTAAATTAAGGCAAACAACAATCGTTTGTTGTTCGGTGATTTGGGGCGAAAGGAATAATTCAAAGCTTTTCCTGCGCGCAATGCGCTGTTCCTCAAGGGGACCGGCAAAGGATTTCAGATATGTAGCGGGTAACTCGATTATGCTAACAAACTCCGCTTGAAAGAAAACGTTGTTGGGCTGCGGGGCGGGGAGCGGGGTGCTGTGGGCCGGGGGGGGCCGAGCCGGGGCGCCAGCGGGAGCGGA